AAAATGTAAAATAGTAATAAGATATGGAATAGAATATAAAAATGAGCATGAACCTGTATTTGTGTCTGTACGAAGAAATGTAACCCGGGATTATGCTGCTTTCAAAAAAGATGTTTTATTTGTATTTTTTTCCTCTTTGTGAAAACTCAAATAAAATTTACAAAAAAAAAAAAAGAATGCTTCAATGTTTGTAATTTTAAAATTGTTTTACTATTTAAGGTAGAAATGTTCTTATATTTTTATTGTCTTTGTAATAAGTCTTTATTTTATTTTATAACATACGAAAGTTCCAATTTCAATTGAACAGTGTGTTGTCTGGGTACAAATCATTTTAGGAAATAATAATCACAGTATTTACAACAATATTCATTGCCTTAATATCAATTATATTAATGTTCATAATAATCATGCTATTTGTTTAACCAAGTTAACGTATCTTCCTTATATCACAAATCCTTTCATATATTTCCCTGTTTCTAGCTCCTGTTTTTGTGAGCTAACCATTGATAAAATAAGTCCCAAGTCAAAAAATATTCAGTTTCTTCCTTTTCCTTAATTGTAAGTGTTAGCTTATCCATTTCTGCATATTCTAATATTTTCTAATCACAGCTTCATCTGCTGGGATCTCTTCACTGTTCCATTGTTGTGCAAATAAAATTCTCGCCTTATATTTTTATTGCATTGTAAGCTGCCCAAAGTCTCTTTGGATAGTGGGGTGGGTGGTATATATATATATATATATAGATAGATAGTCCTTGACTTACAACAGATCATTTAGTGACCGTTCAGAGTTACAACGGCTCTGAAAAAAGTGACTTGTGACTGTTTTTCACACTTATGACCATTGCCGCATTCCCATGGTGAAGATTCAACTTGGCACCTGGCTCATACTTGTGACGGTTGCAGTGTCATGGAATCATGTGATCCCCTTTTACAACCTTCTGACAAGCATAGTCAATGGGGAAGCCAGATTCATTTACTAACCGTGCTACTAACTTAACAACTGCAGTGATTCACTTAACAATTGTGGCAAGAAAGGTCATAAATGGGGCAAAACTCCCTTAACAAATGTCTCACTTAGCAACAGAAATTTTGGGCTCATTTGTGATCATAAGTCAACACCACCCGTAAATTATATATGATTGATAGATAGATAGATAGATAGATAGATAGATAGATAGATAGATAGATAGATAGATGTAGATATTGAAAGAGATAGATAGATAGATAGATAGATAGATAGATAGATAGATAGATAGATGATAGATAGATAGATGATGGATGGATGATAGATAGATGGATAGATGGACAAATGGATGGTTAGATGCATATATGTATAGAAAGATAGAGATATTTAAAGATAGATACTGATACTTATTGAAAGATATAGATGGATGGATGGATGGATGGATGGATGGGCGGACAGACAGATAGATAAGTAGATAGAGATGTGTGAAAGAGAAGCAGAGATTTCTGAAACTGGAATCTATGGCATAAGCTACGAGATTCCTTTCTTTGAATCTTTGGGCAAAATGGGGAATGTTATTTATGTTCTTTATTAAGTTCTGCCTGGTCCCCTCCCCCCCCCCCCACAACATGCTACGCCCCCCCCCCCCCCCCCCCCCCCCCCGCCCACAGTCTCTATGGTCCTCTCCCTTTGTAAGCAAGAGGCAGTTAATCTTATCTTCATTCAGGAACTGGGGGATTTTGCTAAAAATGAAACTTCGCTCTCAGCAGCATCCATTGTTTCAGCCAACTTCCTGTTCTTTGGAAGCTGAGATTGGGGTGAGAAAGTATGACCCATTTTTGACCGGTGGAGTTCCAACCCCCAGAATTCCTGAGCCAGGCGTGAATTGTCCATGAACTGAAGAACCTTCCCGGATGAGAAGCAAAAAAATGTTTTCAACGGAAAAAAACAACCCAAGAAAATCCAGTTGCCTTTTGGTGGTGGTGGCAGCAGGAAGCACCTTTGGGACAACTGTCTAGAATAGCTCCTTCAGCTGTGAGTAGGTAGACAACATCTAACATGTGTGAATCCTTTCCTTCCTTCCTTCCTTCCTTCTCTTTCTTTCTTTTCTTTTCTTTTCTTTTCTTTTCTTTTCTTTTCTTTCTTTCTTTCTTTCTTTCTTTCTTTCTTTCTTTCTTTCTTTCTTTCTTTCTTTCTTTCTTTCTTTCTTTCCTTTCTTTCTTTCTTTCTTTCTTTCTTTCTTTCTTTCTTTCTTTCTTTCTTTTCTTTCTTTCTTTTCTTTCTTTCTTCCCAGCTGTTATTACAGCTGGAAGAACCAGCTCTCTTCACAGCCTGAAGCACTAAGGTGTTCCAAGGCCAGGCAGGGTTGAAGGGTGGGGCAATTTGTTTGTACAGCCTGATAAGGGTAGCTCAACTGTAAATTTCTGGGCCTTGTTTGTCTTTTTGCCAATTGCTGGAAGTCTGTCTTCTCCAGGGGTGGGATTCAAAATTTTTTAGCAACGGATTCTCTGCCCAGTTGCTGGGTGGGTGTGGCCATGGTGGCCATGGCCTAGTTAGCCTCCTGTACCACGGCAGGGGGGGGTCCCCTCTGGAGGATTTCCTTGAGCCTCTGGGAGGGTGAAAATGGCCTCCCCGGACTCTGGAGGCTCTCTGGAAGCCGGAAACACGCCCGTTTCTGGCCTTCCCGAATTTCCAGGAGTCCCGTTTTTCACCCTCCCCGAGCCTCTGCGCGTGCCCTGCACTTACCTGCATCCAAAACAGGCCAAGTGGGGACTCCTGGGAAGGGTGGGGTGGGGTGAGCAGGGCCAGCTAGGAGTGGGATTCGGGGGTTTTCCAAACTGTGCAGAATCTTAGCTAGGGGCTCTCCCGAACCCCTGCGAACCCCCCAGCAGCCCATCCCTGGTCTTCTCCCCGATTCTTCTCTTCTCCATTCTCAGCCAGCTGTTCGGGCTTTAGTCAAATACAGTTATGCACACGTTCTAATATTTAAAAAGGGAAATTACTCTGGTAAAATTGTGTGGTGCTCTATTCCTGGAGGTATTCAAGGAAAGATTGGATGCTCATATTTTTGGGGTCCAGTAACGCAGTGATCCCCAACCTTTTTTACGCCGCGGCCCGGTACCAGCATCAGCTGGGCGCCGCGGCCCGGTACCGGCATCAGCTGGGCACCGCCATCTTTTTTTTGATGAAAACGTGCTTCCGGTGAGCTTTCTACCCGGAAAAGCTCACCGGAAGCACTTTTTCATCAAAAAAAGATGGCGGCGCCCAGCAAGCCAGCGGCCCAGTAGGAGTTGTTCCGCAGACCGGTACCGGTCCGCGGACCAGTGGTTGGGGACCCCTGCAGTAACGTCTTCTGCCTTGGACAGGGGTGGGATTCTACCGGTTTGCACTGGTTCGGGGGATGCGGTAGTTTCGGCGATCATTTGGCCCCGCCCCCCTTGCTCTGGCCCTAGTCTGTCCTTTATTTCCGTGTTTTGCAGCTCAGCCGATTCGCGCGGCGCAACGGATTCCCGTGCCTCAGCTGTTTTATTCACCCGGGGCTGCAGTAGAAGGTAAGTATTAGAGCTGAAAATGGGTGGTTTTCAAAGGTTGCGCGCGCGAAGCGCACACTCATTGAACTGGTTGTTATATCGGTTGTATCTCACCATTGGGCAGGGGGTTGGATGAGAAGATGTCCAAGGTTTCTTCCAGCCCTATGATTCTATTATTATTCTCCCCTCTCCACCCACTCTTCTTCATCAGAACACCTTCGAAGTTCAGCAGGTGGCAAATCTGCAAACAACCTTTCCACTGATTGGTTATAAGAAGGCTGGGCCTTTCTCTCCACCCCACTTTTGAATTTCCAATGAAGCTGTAATCATAGAACACTTTTTTTTTTGATTGATTGATTAATTCATTTGTTCAGGGGTGGGCTTCAAAAATTTTAGCAACCGGTTCTCTGCCTGGTTGCTGAGTGGGCATGGCCTAGTCAGCCTCCTGCACCATGGTGGAGAGGTGTTTTTGATCTCCCCGGGCTGCAGAGGCCTTCCTGAAGCCTCCAGGAGGCCAAAAACAGTCTCCCCAGGCTCCAGAAGCCCTCTGGAGGCCAGAAATGAACCCATTTCCGGTCTTCCGGAGCCTCTGAGAGGCCCATTTTTTGCCGTCCCTGAGCCTCCTCATGGACCCTCTACTTACCTGGGATCCAAAATGGGCTATGTGGGGACTCCTGGGAGGGGAGGGGCCACCCAGGGATGGGATTTGCCGGTTCACTGAACCAGCCATAAAATCAGCTACCGGTTTGGTTCTGGTTCACTTGAACTGGGATGAACCAGTAGCAGCCCATCCCTGCATTTGTGTCATCAAATTGGTGTTGTCTTAGGAACTACATACATTTCCTAGATTTGTTACTGGCCTAGTATTTCAATTCTTCATAGAACACATTGACTCTTAAATCCACGCTTATCAAAGCACTGTTAAGGAAGTCAACAAAATGCTGTATTTAATGTACACTAGGGTGTTGTATCCCCTGATGGCAGAGTGGTTGAACTGCAGTATTGCAAGCAAAGTCTGCCCACAGCCTGGAGTTCGATCCTGATGGAGCTCCAGGTTGACTCAGCCTTCCATCCTTCCAAGGTGGGTAAAATGAGGACCCCAGATTGTTGGGGGCCATATGCAAATAATGCTTTTACATTGCAAACCACACAGAGAGTTCTGAAAAGTGTTATGGGGCAGCATATAAGCCTCAATGCTCTTGCTAATTTGAAGAGAACACCGTTCGCTTGCTCTGGTCCCAATTGAGATAGTAAGTCAAAGACTATCTCTATAGACATTGCTAGAATTCATGCTAGGGTCATCCTGTGTTCATCTGACACATTATAGAGCAGGTCCCCTTTGAGGTTGGGTTGGGATAAAACATCAAGATGGCAGCTATGATCATCCAATCCACCCTATTTTTCCATGCATTGTGCAAACAACTTAGGCGACCATGGGATGTTGCATGTTATAAAATAAAGTGATGAAAAATAAAACAATATATGGTTTTAATTGGGTGTTAAAGGGGAGTTATTATGTTTGTTATTGAACTCTGTATTTTGTTTACTGGTTGTATTTTAATTATATGAGCTGTTCAGGGTCACAAATGTGGGATGGACATCTATACACATTGAATGAATGAATGAATCAATCAATCAATCAATCAACTAATGAATGACTGAATGACTGAATGAATGAGAGCATTTTTTTTTCATAATACCTGAAGGTTATTTCAAATCACAATAAATGAAGCTTAACTCAAATGAATGCCATAAGAAAGGCATCCTTGGAGGCAGGGGGTCAACTCAAGATGGCTTCTTCTTCATCAGTTCTTTTAATTTTTGAGAAGTCATATGTGACTCTGTTGGATCTTGCTGGCAATCCCTCACTTGTATCATCCCTGCAACTGAATCCATCCACCTTGTTGCTGGTTGTCTTCTTCTTTTTACTTCCAGCTTTCTCAGCATGAAAGCCTTCTGCGGAGAGGTAAGTCCTTGCATCATGGAGATGAGATATGGAGATGAGAAAGTATGGCTATCTACTGTAGCTCCATAAAATTAACCTTGCATATTGACAGTTTAGGATTGAAATATTAATTAAAAACTTCATGGTTTTGTACACAAAGGGACTTGAGGGGCGAAAATACCTTTGACCTTCCTGCCATTAAAGCTCCAAAATCAGATGGTTAAAAATAGTCTATGGCATGCAAGAATTGTGATACCTAAAATGAAGAGCGAAGAGAAAAGAGTTGAAAAGAAGCAAAGAAGGAAAAACAGCCCACAGAGATAATCCTTAAAGAAGAGGAAAAGAAACAACCAACAAAGAATATTGAGGTTGAAAACTTAATTATAGGAAGATGAAATACTATTAAATGATATTGCATAAGAGCAAAGAAGGACAGAATTTCAGTCTTGAGTTTAATATCTTAACATTGGATCCTGTTGTAATAAAAAGGACCCTTGTTATAGCAACTATATCATCTCATCCTCAACTCTGTCACCACGCCTAAATAAACCTACAACAGGTGTGTGTTTGTGTCACTTAAGGTCAACAGGTATTAAAGTCCTAGATAAAATCTTCATAGAAGTTATGGTCCAGATAAAACACGTGTTTTAAGCAGGGGTGGTTTTTTTTTTTTTTTCATTACATTAGCTTTGGTGATCAGAAAAACAATCATCAAAGATTGTCTCAATCTCTTCCCGCCTCTTCTTCCCATCTGCCCAGGTCTAAAAAACATGGAGATTTTTCTCAATGTCAGCAGATCATCTAACAACAATTCAACTCATCGGAGCTATTTTCTGGATAGACAGTGAGAGCAAAGAATTTCACGGGAGCATCCATATGGATGAATAATATTGGCTTCAGCTTGTGCTGAACGGCTCTTTTAGCCAGAGTGTACTTAATGATCTTTAATCTACTAGGAGCACAACATATACCAAGTTAATCATGATGTCAGCAAGATCCAACTGAAGTAGCGTTGACCCGAGAACTATGAAATCATGGTGTCTAGCAAATCATGGTGTTTCTTTGAGAGTCCCAGCTGCAGCTGTTATGGTGAAAGCAGCAATGAAGATCTGCTTCTTCACTTCTTCCCAGGCTTTCTCTTGGTCTGCTTTGTGATCAATGTCAAACAGGGCATCATAGATCCCAGGGAAGGACACTCCAGCGTACTTGTTGTGACTGTTTGGAGCAAAGATGATGTGTCTAGAAAAAAAAAAGCAGTCAGGTCAATTGACCATTGGAATCACATGATTTAGAAGAGAAGTTCTCAAGGCTTGAAACAAATCGGCATTCTCTAACCTGCTGCCTTCAAAACATTAAGAAGGACTTCATTGAATCAGGCCAGAGGCTCACCTAGTCTACATTCAATGTCACCTAACCAATAACCAGATGCATTCTGAAAGCCCAAAGGATTAGATTGGTAGACGAAAGATCTCTTTTGAAGAAGATCTCAAGATTTGTTTTTTAAGAAGCAGTTCAAAGATTAGGAGACACCAAGTCTTCTCCTCCATTGTTTAGTTTCCATATCTCAACTGACCATCTTTATACCTGATAGAATGACCTCTATGGCTTATTTGGACTTCATTACCTTTCAGGCAAATATCTGGATGGGTTTTTTTTTTTCCAAACAAATCCATCATGATATGATGGACAAGGCAATTTCTTGTTAAAAACTTTGAAGGCCATCAGCTGGGAGACCCAATGGGCTTCTTTAAGCCGTTGGTTGGTCACTGTGAGAACACATTATGAACTAGATGGGCCAGAAGTCTAGTCCAAAAGGTCACTGTTTATGTTCTTATGATATATAAGGACTGGGAGAATGGAAAGAAGGTTGACAAGCCACCCTGAATCACTGAGTTGAGTTGGGTGGCTATAGAAATTGAAGAAATAAATATATATTTTTCCCCTTACCTATAAAATGGTCTGCCAGGCAATCCAAGAGGATCAATAAATGCCCTTTCCAAGAACATCAATTGATCATTCCAAGATCTTACTTCAAGTGGGCTGGAAATTAGACAATTGAAAACGACAATGTTAGAAGGAATATGGCTTTTGATCAGGATGCACAGACTTTGGAAAACCAAGCAAAGATGAGAGAGGATATTTTAACTGAACTTTCTCAAGATGGAAATTACAAGGATCCCTTCAACTTCAATTAATATCAGGAGAATGGAGGATATCTTATCTGAATGGCCAGAAAATTAAGAGACTTACTTATGGATGTCCACTAATTCAAGTCTGCGATGAAAGTCATTAGCCACTTCTGAAAATGCCTTTACGGAATCCCGAAGCAAATCTGGAATAACGAAGACGAGAAAATGCTAAATTATGAGACTCTTACTTTTATTGTTTCCATAATATTAGCCCAAGTGTAGAGAACTTGTGGCTCTCACATCCCTCATTCCAGACGTAGTATTCAGCAGGTTCTGACCAGTTCTGGAGAACCGGTAGCGGAAATTTTGAGTAGTTCGGAGAACCGGCAAATACCACCCCTGACTGGCCCCGCCCCCATCTATTCTCTACCTCCCGAGTCCCAGCTGATTGGCTGGGTCTTCTTTTGTTGCCCTGCACAGGAGAACAGAGCTGAAAAGCAGGTTAGTAGGTGGGGAGGGAATGGGATTTTGCAGTAACCTTCCCCTGGAGTGGGGTGGGAATGGAGATTTTATAGTATTCTCCCCCTGCCACGCCCACCAAGCCACACCATGCCCACCAAGCCACACCCACAGAACTGATAGCAAACATATTTGAATCCCACCATTGTTTTACTCCCCATGCTTTCTAGAGATATAAGAATTATAATTCAGAATTTTCCATAATGGCCTAGCACACTGGAATTCTGAGACAGTGCCCAAACTGAGAAAGTAATTGTATTATGGCAGGAAGCCCATGTAAACAAACAGTAGGAAGAGGTCAACAATTATTCACTCTAAGGTAGTTTTTGTTTCACAGCAGTTAACTGAAAAAACAAAGGATTGTCTACTTTGGCAAACCAAGGTGACTAGGTCAGCAGATGCTGATGACATAGGAAAAGACGAAAACTGCATGACACAGTCTTTTCAGGACCTGTTAGTTAATCTCCCGAATGCCATACAAGGGATAATGGATGGAAACTGACCAAGGAGAGATTCAACCTAGAAATAAGGAGAAATTTTCTGACAGTGAGAACAATCTACCCATGGAACAGAAGCTGCCTTCAGAAGTTGTGGGAGCTTCATCACTGGAGGCTTTCAAGAAGAGACTGGACTGCCATCTGTCAGGAATGGTGTAGGGTCTCCTGCTTGGGTGGCAGTTGGACTAGATGACCTACAAGGTCCCTTCCAACTCTGTTAATCTGTTAAATCTCTTGCCTTTGGGTGCGGTGGCTGCACTTGAACTATGAGTTATCTGCAGCTTGGTTCATATTTTATGTACACTGAATTGGAAAGGGGAATGGAGGTCCCATTTTGATAAAAGCAGCACATATGGCTGTCTATGTTTGTGAGGATACCACAAATTTCTGTTAAGTGAGACATTTGTTAAATGAGTTTAACCCTGTTTTACGACCTTTCTTGTCACAGTCTCTAAATGAATCACAGCAGCCGATAAGTTAGTCACATGGTTGTTAAGTAAATCTGGCTTTCCCATTGGCTTTGCTTGTCAGAAGGTCGCAGAATTTGGCAACGGTCATAAGTGTGAAAAACAGTCACAAGTCACTTTTTTCAATGCTGTTGTAACTTTGAACGGTCACTAAATGAACTGCTCTAAGTTGAGGACTACCTGTAATTCTGTTTTACGGGATTGCCTCCGCTCCTGGTGATGTTTTATCCTCTCTATTAGCCAGTTGCATTAGATGGTTGCATTCTTGTTGCCTCCACATCTTGTGGAACTAAGTTTCATGAAATAATTTCGTGTGTGTGTGTGTGTGTGTGTGTGTGTGTGTGTGTGTGTGTGTTTCTGAGTCTATCATTTGCTTCATGGAGTGACTCTAGATCTAAGGTAGCTTTAGGACTTTCCCTAAATCACAAGTAGGGAGAACATTTAGGTCTCGATTCCCTGATACTAATCTTCATTTTTTTTTTTTAGGTAACTGCTTTGGACAAAGTTCACAATATATCTGGAACATGCACAGTTGTGGTAAGCATTTCCTTTCCCCAATATATTTGGCTGAAACAGTGAGGAGGTTACACCAAAAAAGGATCCAATTGACCCAGTCAATTAACTCACAAGGGCTAAATCTAACCCCCAAAGACCCTCAGTGATACCCAGGCTGCACCCAGTCAAGGGAGTCATTTTGTATATCTAATATTTAAAAAAAAAAAAGTACTGGAGAGAAAGAATTGTTAAGTAGGTATCCCTCACATAGCTGCTATCGGGATTCACCCAACAGGGAGTACTGGGGGCAACCCCACAAGAATCCAAGAGGGCCTTAATTAATCTTTTTCGGAGAAAGATGAGGAAGCTCTAATTAAAAGGTTCTATCAACTTCTGGGTTTCAAGAGCAAACTCTGATCATGAATGGGCAACTATGGCGACTTTATGACTTGTGGACTTCAATTCCCAGAATTCCTGATCCAGCATGAATTGAAGCCCACAGATCATAAAGTTGCCATTAATGTCCAACCCTGGTTTAGAGATGCAGACAAGATAAACTCTTGGGCCTATGTAACAGATTACTGAGGCCTCTCTTTTTTATAGAAGTTTTCTCATTTGGAACATTTAGAACAGAGGTCTCATCCTCGCGGCCCGCGGGCCAATTGCGGCCCGCAGGACGATATCCTGTGGCCCCCACCGTGATATGAAAGTATAACATTTGAGGATATTTTTTTAACATTTTTTGTGCAATCCCAGCCTCACCCAGACTCTGCCTCCAGTGGCCCCCAGGTACATTGAGTTTGAGACCCCTGATTTAGAACCATACAAGGAATGGTTGGAAGTATGCCTAGCCTAACTAAGAGAAGAATTAAGGGTTCTTCCAATATCTGAGGGATTGCCACAAAGAAGAAGGGATCAACCGATTTTCCAAAGCACCTGAAGGCAAGACAAGAAGCAATGGATAGAAACTTATCAGCAACAGAGTGGTCAATGCCTGGAACTCACTACATGACTGTTGTTACATTCTCAAACCCCCAAAACTTTAGCTTTAAACCAGGGGTGGGATTCAAATTTTTTAACAAGCGGTTTTGTGGGCGTGGCTTAGTTTGTGGGCATGGCTTGGTGGTCATGTGACTGGGTGGACGTGGCTTGGTGGTCATGTTATTGGCTCGGCGTGGCCAAATTAACATCACTCACATCGAGGCACGCATCTCCTCGCCTGGCCTCTCATGACTGTGGGGATGCTGCAATAGTTGTAAGTGTGAAAAATGGTCATAAGTCAGTTTTTTCAGTGCCATTGTAACTTTGAATGGTCACTCCACACAAGCAAAGTACCAGCAAAGGAGGGGGGGGAAAAACTCCAGAGATGTTCCTGAGACAGGAAGTCTAGTCCTGCCAAGAATGTAATAATGGTTAACGGAGAGGCAGTTTCTGTAAGCAACACCAGAATGTTTCCTTCCTGCCTTCCTTACAGGATTAGGCCAGTAATTTCTTCTAATATCCTGTGGCACTTCTCCGAACTGCTTAGAATGTTAACAACCGGTTCTAGTGAATAGGTGCGAACTGGTAGAATCCCACCCTTGCCTTAAACTGTCTACCATGGACCTCACTCCATTCCTAAGAGGTTTGTAAGGGGGCGTGCATAAGCGCACCAGCATGCCTACCATCCCTGTCCTACTATTCCCATTTATTCATACTCACTTACAATGTATATACTTATACCAGTTTATACTTATATGTTTATACGTTATATTCGTACTTATACTTGTTTTCTCATACATGCTTGACAAACAAATAAAATAAAAAGTCAATAAAAATCAAGGAGAGAACCAACCTAGAATTAAGGTGAAATGACAGTGAGAACTATCAATCAGTGGGACCCCTTGCCTCCAAAAGTTGTGGATGCTCCCATCACTGGAGGCTTTTAAGAAGAAATTGGACAGCCATTTGTCTGAAATGGTATAAGGTTTCCTGCTTGAGCAGGGGTTGGACTAGAAGACCTCCAAGGTCCCTTCCGACTGTTACTCTGTTGCTTTGCAATGGTCAGATTTTATTTTTCACTGACTACCTGAGAACTCACTTTCACAACAAGTAGATCAAAGGAATCAGTGAGGAATGCTGTGTGTTATTGAAGATCCTACCTTGATGTTGGAGATTTTGTCTGCTTACCTAATGATACTTTGTGTACTTCCATCGCTGCCCGATGTTTCATGGTTATGTTGTAAATGATATCCACATAGCTATTAAGTGCCTTGGCGTAATCTCTGCAGTCAAAAGGGAGGATGACAGCCTCAGCCAGCTCAAACACCAGCCCGCCTCGCACTTGGGCTACAGCCAAGTGATTCTTGAAAGTTGGGTCATAAAACTTTTCCACGATCTCGTACGTCTCATAGACACTGTGATAAACCGGGTAGCTGCTGAACTTGTCCACTTTCTGGAAAGAAAGATGTCAGCCTATGTGGGCTTCGTTTTGGTTATCGAACAACATTCATACACCAAGAAGAAGGGGTTTGCACAACGTATCCCACGCTTCAATTAGCAAAATAAAATGGCTATTTTCACAGATCTGTCCTAATAATAAGAGCTAATAATACATTGTGGCTGAACTGGATGGTTTGGATTGCAAATGCGCTAAAAAGGATTATCAGATGCACTCTAATTTCAATTGATATTTCACTTGCATTGCATTAATTATTTCCCAGGGTTTTACCAAAGGTGTTTGGTTTTTTTTCAGGAGGCAACTGGACTTTCTTGTTTTTTCTTTTGAAGACGTTTTGCTTCTCATCCAAGAAGCTTCTTCAGCTCTGACAGGATGGTGGGGAATGGAAGGATTTATATTCCTTGCAGACAGTTGGTCATTTGCATCCTTTTAGAGGGTCGTTGAAGCACTTGTTTTCTCCAGATCTCCTGTGTAATGCTTCTGGTTCCTGTGGCCTTCAATTTTTTTCCCTCTGGAAGTCCATTCCTACTCCCACACCATCCAAAGGGTGTTCATCCCAAACTGTATAGCTAAAAGTCCTACAGAGCTGAAGAAGCTTCTTGGATGATAAACAAAACATCTTCAAAAGAAAAAAACAAGAAAATCCAATTGCCTCCTGAAAAAAGTACCTGGATGACTGAGAATCTCTACAGACTTCCCAGGGTTTGATCATTTGCTCATTGCAAATGATAAATTGTTGCTGATTTGAATATGAGTTCTTTTTTTAAAAAATTTTTTTTTACCCCATCATTATTATTTTTATAAATAGTTCAAGGTGATGAACAAACCTAATGTTCCTTCTTCTTCTATTTTTCTCACAACAAGATCCTTCTGAGATAAGTTGGACTGATAGGGAGTGACTGGCCCAAAGTCACCCAACTGGCTTTCATGGCCAAGGCAGGACTCAAACTTATAGCCTTGCCACCTAGGGTATTCTGGGAGTTGAAGTCCACACAACTTAAAGTGGCCAAATTTGGGAAACACTAGGGTTATATAAGCTAGGTCTTTGTCTTCAATCTTTCTTTATTATGTTGCTTCTTTTACTCTGTATTATATTGTCATGTTCAAGTATTTATTTTGCTTGTTATTTCTTCCCTTATTGTTGGGCCTTTGACTGTAAATCAATAAACTAAATAAGAAAAGTGATTTAATAAGCAGCTTTGAAGATCTTTAATCTCTCCTTTTATAGCTAGAAGACCTAAGGTGAGGCCCAAATTATATTTTACTTAATACAGTATTGCCTTGGGCTCTTTCAATAAGATTTCTGCAAACAGGGTTGTGGATTGTACACTCTTGACATGGGAAAGGCCATCTGTTTCCACTGGAATTAAATTCTTAGATAATTTACATCTTCCGAACAGTTGGGAAATACTTGAGATAAGAAAAATGGACTTTCACAGGTAATTCTTATCTTTGAAGTGGAAAGATTTCAGATTCTCCAGATGGAATGCTCGCAGCTTTCTCGTTTTGGGCGTGTTTCACATGGCCTGAATTGCAGTTCCCATAATCCAACATCTGGAAAGAGTTAGGTTTCAGAAGGCAGTTTCAGTTAGATTTCTTCACGCTATTCTTTGAACAGAGAGCCGGTTTGGTGGTTAAGGAACCAGGCTAGAAACCTGGAGACTGTTAGTTCTAGTCCTGCTTTGCGTACAGCTAGGAGACCTTGAGCCAGTCACACTCTGTCATCCCTAAGAAGGAGGCAATAGCAAACCACTTCCAAACTCTTCCCAAGAAATCTGCAGGGATTGGTCCAGGCAGACACCAGGTGTCAACACTCACTCGAAAGCACCACCCTTCCCAAAAATTATTTGAACACGCTTACAAAGTTTTTAGTGTAACGGGCTCTACCAGAAGCAATTCCCAACCTTTGGAAAAAGACTTCAAAATCATTGCCGGAACCCAGTTTGTTTATCCTGTTGGAAAGAAAACAGGGGAAGGGGAACAAGTGATGTAAGGAATTATAAAAGTATTATTTTAAGGTGAGACACCAGAGATCTCAAAAAGGTTCTGTCCATCTGTCCATCTCCATCTCCTTCTTTCTTTCTTTCCTTTATAAAGCTGATTTTATCATTTACAGAAGAAAGAGGGGAAGAGACTGGGTAGTCTAGTGTGTAGATCAGAAAGAGAGGGGGAAGTTGGATGCATATCTGAATATGTTCTGAAAGATGTGGAAGGAGAGGTTTTCCCCAGCCAAATTGAATACCTTTGCTTGAGCGATTACTACCGTGAGCATCATGGAGGCAAATACCCACTTTACTTACTTGATGCATTTATTAGATTTTTAGCCTGCCTTTATTACTTTATAAGTATAAATCCAGGCAGTAAACATATATAATAGTTCTTCCTCCTGCTGCTGTTTCTCCCACAGCAACCCTGTGAGGTGGGATGGGCTAATAAGAGGGTGATTGGCCCAAAGTCGCCCAGGTAGCTTTTATGTCAAAGGTGGAACTAGAACTCACAGCCTTCTAGTGATTGGCTGGTTTTAATGCCTAAGGCCCGGGTGTCAAACTTGATCGCATCACATGATGTATCGTGATGTATCACAATGTTTTTTGCCTTTGCGGGGCCGGGGTGGGCATGGCCTGTGCATGATGCATTTGGCCCACAGGCTGCCAGTTTGACAGGCCTGGCCTAAGGTGAAACTAGTTGCTAGCGTTCCAAGTAATACACCCACAGCAAACAGAACTCCGAGGCAGGTAGATTCCTCAAAGGACAGTTTTATTTGGAGATATCATATTGGCACAGACTGGTGAAAAACCGACTCTGAGAGTTCCCGTGGTTTTCATCTAATTAAAAAGTAAACATTTCCCTTTCTCCCAAACAATAAGTCACATGGTCCAATCTAGGTGCTAGTCGGTTGCCTGGTTACTTCTCTCCTCCTCCTCTCTCCAGCCAGCTATTGGAATGTCCTTGGTTCACAGGAAAAAGAATTTTGTTTTGGCTACAAAAGCCCAGCTATCTCTATTCCCCCCTCCCTATCCAGGGGTGGGCTTCTGGGGGTTCGGGAAAACCCCTAGGTAAGATTCTGTGCAGTTCAGAGAACCCCCAAATCCCACCCACCCCGTCCCGTCCCTCCCAGGAGTCTCCAAGCGGCTTGTTTTCGATGCAGGATGCTTGCGGAGGCTCAGGAAGAGCAAAAAACAGGCCTCCCAGAAGTTTGAGAAGGCCGGAAGTGGGCCTGTTTCTGGCTTCCAGGGAGCCTCCGGAGCCAGGGGAGGCCATTTTCATCCTCCTGGAGGCTCAAGGAAAGCCTCCGGAGCCCGGGAAGGGCAAAAATGGCCACCCTGCTGTGGTGCAGGAGGCCAACTAGACCATACCCACCATGGCCACGCCCATCCAGCAACCAGGCAGAGAACCCTTTGCTAATATTTTTGAAGCCCACCCCTGTCCCTATCCTTCAGCTCCAGTGTGGCAATACGGACGCTTGAAAAATGGTCTCAGTGAGACCAGCTTCAGAGTTGACACTATAACTCATGGTGTCCTGGTTTGTAGGCCAGCACCTTAACCATTACACCAAACTGGCTCTTCTGCTTTCTATCTTCCAGAACAGGTCCCAATATATTTGGACTGTCACTTTTGTATTTGCATCTCAGCTGCCACCAAAAAATCCACTCCCTTCTCTGCAAGACAACTCAGCCTCTGATAGCTACCTTTCCTGTTTTGGCATTTACCTTGGGAAGCCTTTATGTTCCCTTGATGGGTTTTTCTCATACCAGCTTTCGAAAAGAGATCTGTCTTCAAATCCTTCATCTGGACTTGGTATCTACAAAGACATGTGTTGTGTTAATGAAACTATAGAAGAAAGGGAAGACATACCATTATTATCAAGAGCTGTACTGGCGCAGTGGTTAGAATGCAGTATTGCAGGCTAACTCTGCTGACTGACAGCAGTTCGATCCTGTCTGGCTCAAGGTTGATTCAGCCTTTGGACTGCTGCCAAGATGGCGCTGACAACGGCTGCCTCGGTGAAATGTTCTCTAATGGTTTCTTTATTGCTTATTATTATCTGTAATTCACTACGGATTTCATACTCATGAGACCATCTGCTAAGAAATAGGCAACGTTTCCTTAAGGAGCTGCTTTCTGATTCCTCACCCCCACCTGCCTTTGCAAATGCAGAGGAGATTCTAACTAATTCTCCGGTGCTATGGATTACAACAAAGAAAGCAAAGAACTGGCCTCGCCCATAAAGGAGATGAGGTAAACGAGCGGGAATTTTAAACAGACTAAGGAATGGGGGGGGGGAACTCCCCTCCCTTCAATCTTTCTGACTAATTTACGCTCACTTGCTAACAAGATGGATGAAATTCATCTCTTAAATAGATGGAATTCTGATTTTTACAATTCAGCTGTTCTTTGTTTTACTGAAACCTGGATTAATCCACAAATTCATGGGGACAACACCATATACATCCCAGGATTTCAGACATTTAGATCAGACAGAATTGAAGAGACATCAGGTAAAACAAAGGGTGGAGGATTATGTTTATATATCAACAACAGCTGGTCTCAGGATATAACTATAATATATAAGTTCTGTGATGAAAACACTGGCTTCAGCAAACCTCCTTCCCAGGCAGAAGGAAATCAACAACTAGCAGATGACCTGAATGTGTTTTACTACAGGTTTGAAAGGAAATTACAGCCACCTATCTCCACAACCCACATCTCAAACACACCAACAACAGCCAAGCCTCCTACAACTGGCCCCAATCCATTGGATTCACAACCTCTGGTGATCACAGAAAGAGAAGTGCAAGATCTATTACACAGACAAAAGCCAGGAAAAGCACCAGGGCCAGACAAGATAACTTCTTGCTAAAAAGTCTGTGCTGACCAATTGGCCCCCATCTTCATTCAAATCTTCAATAGATCACTAGAGATGTGCTATGTTCTTTCCTGCTTCAAATGCTCTACTATCATCCCAGTGCCAAAGAAGCCCTCCATCAAGGAACTGAATGACTACAGACCAGTTGCTCTAACATATGTAGTTATGAAAATCTTTAAAAGGCTTGTGCTGTCCCACCTGAAAACCATCATGGATCTGCTGTTAGATCCCATGCAGTTTGCATACCGAGCAAATAGATCAACAGATGATGCTGTTAACATGGCTCTGCACTACATCCTACAACACCTTGAATCTCCAAATACCTACGCAAGGGTCCTCTTTGTAGACTTCAGTTCAGCATTCAATACCATCATTCCAGACACTCTTCTAAGTAAATTAAACCAACTAGCGGTACCTGAACACACTTGTAAGTGGATCATAAGCTTCCTAACAGACAGGAAGCAGCAGGTGAAGCTAGGCAGAATCACATCCGATATCTGTACAATCAGCACAGTCCCCCCTCCCCCACAACAAGGCTGTGTGCTTTCTCCACTTCTCTTCTCCCTATATTCCAATTACTGCATTTCAAACAATCCATGTGTTAAAATACTGAAGTTTGCTGATGACACAACAGTGATTGGTCTCATTCGAGACAATGATGAATCTGCATACAGACAGGAGGTTATACAACTTGCCTCGTGGTGTAACCAGAACAATCTGGAACTGAACACACTCAAAACCGTAGAAATGGTGATAGACTTTAGAAGAAACCCTCCCATACTACCACCTCTTACAATACTAAACAACACCATATCAACAGTAGAGACCGTCAAATTTCTAGGTTCTACTATATCACATGACCTAAAATAGACACCTAACATCAAAAACGTCATCAAAAAAGCACAACAAAGAATGTTCTTTCTGCGCCAACTCAGGAAGCTCAAACTGCCCAAGGAGCTGCTGATGCAGTTCTACAGAGGAATGATTGAGTCTGTCATCTGCACCTCTTTAACTGTCTGGTTTGGTTCTGCAACCCAACAGGACAGACAGACTTCAGAGGATAATTAGGACTGCAGAAAAAACAATTACTACCAACCTGCCTTCAATCAAGGACCTGTATACTGCATGAGTCAAAAAGAGGGCTGTGAAAATATTTACAGACCCCTCACATCCCAGACATAATCTGTTTCAACTCCTTCCCTCAAAACGACGCTATAGAGCACTGCACACCAGAACAACTACACAAGGACAGTTTTTTTCCCAAATGCCATCACTCTGCTAAATAAATAATTCCCTCAACACTGTCCAACTATTTACAAAGTCTGCACTACTATTGCTGTTAATCTTGTCATCACTCCTTATCACCCACCCCCTCCCACTTGTGACTGTATGACTGTAACTTTGTCGCTTGTATACTTATGATTTAGATTGACTGTTTCCTAGTATGATTGATTGCTTATTGTACCCTATGACAATCATTAAGTGTTGTACCTTATGATTCTTGACTCCTGATGAATGTATCTTTTTTTATGTATACTGAGAGCATTTGCACCAAGACAAATTCCTTGTGTGTCCAATCACATTTGGCCAATAAAGAATTCTATTCTATTCTATTCTATTCTATTCTATTCTATTCTATTCTATTCCATTCCATTCCATTCCATTCTATTCCATCCTTCCAAGATCGGGCCCAGATAATTGGAGGCAATATGCAGATTCTGTAAATCGCTTAGAGAGGGCTGTAAAGCACTGTGAAGAGGTATATAAGTCTAAGTGCTATTGCTAACTTTTTTCAAGAGGAAAATTGGGACCATGAATACAATATAGCACCTGTCTGGAGCTATGTGCTGTTGCTTTAAGATATTACAAACAGGTGCTCTATTCACGTTTCTGTGTGCTCCAAGCAACCTTTGGAGATTGAATCTGAATTGCTGTGTGCATTCAGTGTTGCAATGGTCTAAATGGGAAATGTGTAACATAGCCTTTCTCAACTGGTTTGCTCCAGTTATATTATACAATGCCCAGGGGTGTTATTTTGGAATCCAACACATCTGGACTAAAGGAGGCTGGTGTCTGATGCAACATGCTTTTTGCAAAGTCATAGATTGTGGGTTACAAGCTATCTTATCTACTTAGACTTGCTTATACTGGCATTCCTAAGCTAAGCTTCAGTGCACTGTCATTATTCAAACCGCATGATCTTTATTTTTCAAGGTACCGTACTATTTACATGCCTAAAAGAAAAGTAGCTGGTTTTAATTATTGTTATTCAGGAAGGCCTTCGTTTCTCAGACAAAGTATGAGCTCAACGGAAACATACACTCAATGACACAGCATTGACCAGTCTAAAAGAACATTCCGTCCAGTCCAGTGTTTTTTCAACTTCAGCAATTATTAGAAGTGTGGACTTCCCTGCCAGAATTTCCCAGTCAGTATGTTGAAGTCCATACGTCTTACATTGGCTGAGGTTGAAAAACTCTGTTCTAGACCAACCAAACTGCAGATATTAATTCTGCCCTTTGAGTCTTTAATCTTCTCATGTTGATCCAAGGGTGCTTTTTTTTTTCAAGAGGCAACTGGGCTCTCTTTGTTTTTCCCAGAAGACAGTTCACTTCTCATTCTAGAATTTAAGAAGCTTCTTGGATTCATCTTCAAGGAAAAACAAAGAAAGCCCAGTTGCCTCTTCAAAAAAAAAAAAAAAAAAGCACCTTTGGGACCTGGAGGACTGAGAATCTCTATAGACTTTTCCCACACTGAGATTTCAAGATTAAAATTGTACAGAGAAGTCAAATAGATCCTCACAATTCAGATGTTGCCTTCAACATGGCAAGTTCCAGGACTGAAAGGGCAGGACACATTCTGGGAGCTGAAGTCCACAAATCTTAAAGTTGCCAAATTTGGAGACCCCCTGGTCTATGTCATCTTTTTCAAAAAGAAGTATCCTGTTTTTTCTGAAAGGGAGCCATTTTCCAGAATGTTGAAAAGGGTTTTTACAACTGTAGAATTTGAGTTTTTCATTCTTTCGTGCCACATTAAACATTCTGATTTTATTTAGTGAATTTATTCTACTTTTTTTTATTCTACAGCAAACTACAGTCTTATTAAGGATCCACCAAGAACATTCCCACTAACATTGACAGGAAAAACTACTAGCATATAAACAGAGAGCATACCCTACTCCCTTCTAGCACTGATGATGTTACCTAGCTGGGTAATGAAACATCTGCAGAAAAACAACCAAATTCAGGGACCTCCAAGGACTCCATATGCAGGGGTGGGCTTCAACAATTTTAGCAAGGGGTTCTCTGCCCGGTTGCTGGGTGGGCGTGGCCACGGTGGGCGTGGCCTAGATGGCCTCCTGCGCCATGCCAGGGGGGTATTTTTGCCCTCCCCAGACTCCGGAGGCTTTTCTTGAGCATCCGGGAGGGTGAAAATAGCCTCCCCAGACTCTGGAGGCTCTCTGGAAGCTGGGAACAGGCCTGTTTCTGGCCTCCCTGAACATCTGGGAGGCCCGTTTTTCACCCTCCCCGAGCCTCTGCACGTGCCCTGCACTTAACTGCATCTAAAACAGGCCACGTGGGGACTCCTGGGAGGGGTGGGGTGGGGTGGGGGTGGGGGCAGCCAGGGGTGGGATTTTGGGGTTCTCCAAACCACACAGAATCTTAGCTAGGAGTTCTCCTGAACCTCTGCGAACCCCCAGCAGCCCATTCCTGACTCCAAAGCATGGGAAGAGTTTCAGAAAAGACCCTCCCTAGTTTTCCAGAGACTGAAAAAAGAGGAGAGGATGAATATTCTCAGTCTTGCAAGCTTGTTCCGAAAAGATGCATACCTTGGTGAACTAATCCTATTTTATTGAAAACCTTCCTCCTCCATCTCCCAAGGTTATTCTCACATACTATTACACTTGACCACTTGTATTTTTGCAAACTAGAGAAATGGAATCTGTCAGTAAAGAAATGCTGGCTGCAATGTCATTCATTTATTTTTCAAGAGTTTTATGAATCCTCTTTTTTTTAAAAAAAAAAAATGGGAGATTGACATTTTCAGCAGTGTACCATAAAAGAATGTGCAATTGGGACCCCAAATATCTGAATTAGCAAAAATACCCATCTTTGGGGGTAGACAAAGAAACCAGGATGAAGCAAGTTAGGTGAAAGATCTGAAGCTCCCAAGAACCTTATGGAGAATTGTTCTGAATTCTTCTCCAAAGCTATAAGATATTGATCTGTGACTTCACCACACATCTGTCCCTATTTTACCTCTTTAGTTAGATTGTATACCAGGCTATGCATCGATGGGGTACAGTCAACTCGAAGAGTGTAGTTACCTAAAAGAAAACGACATTATCTTTATTGTATTTTAGGAGGAATCCTTTTAAATAAATTAATTTTATTTGAGGGAAACCCAAACAACATAGTTTGAATGTGGATTTCTATTGTTCTTATGTTTCTGACTTTTAAAAATGCTTTAATGCTTTTTGATTTTTTTGGATAATAAAGTTGGAAGAGATCTTGGAGGTCTTCTAGTCCAACCCCCTGCCCAAGCTGGAGACCCTATAGCAGTGGTGGCTAACCTTTTTTGGGCTCCTGTGCCAAAAATTGAGCATGCGCTGGCGCTCGCATGCCAGCACCCAGAAGGCAATGTGCCCCCCCCCCCCGCATATGCACGCACAATCCCCCATGCTCCCCAAGCCACTCCCACCCTTACCTGCACTGCGCCTCAGAGCTGATTTTCAGCTGGTTTGAGGCCTTTTTCGGCCTCCCAGAGGCTTGGAAAAAGCCTCTGCAGGCCGAATAGGCCCATTTCGTCACTTCCTGTAATACCAGAAGTGATGGAATGGGCCCATTTCATCACTTCTGGTATTACAGGAAGAGACAAAACAGGCCTATTCGGCCTACAGAGGCTTTTTTTCAAGCCTCTGGGAAGCCGAAAAAGGCCTCAAACCAGCTGAAAATCAGCTGTGAGGCACGTGCATGAGCAGTGAGGTAAGTTTGCCTCGGCTCGCATGCCGGCATAAATGGCTCTGCATGCCACCTGTGGCATGCATGCCATAGGTTCGCCATCACGGCCCTATAGCATTTCAGAGAAATGACTGCCTAACTTCTTCTTAAAAACACTCAAGTGTTGGAGCACACACAACTTCTGGAGGCAAGCTGTTTTATTTATTATTTGTTCTCATTGTCAGGAATTTCTCCTTAGTTCTACATTGGTTTTCTCTTTGTTCAGTTTCGATCCATCACTTCTTGTCCTGCCCTCAGGTGCTTTGGAAAATATAGTAGTTTGTTCCCCTCTTCTTCGTGGCAGCCCCTCAAATGTTGGAAGACTGCTATCGTGTCGCCCTTAATCCTTCTCTTCGTTAGACTAAGCATACCCAGTTCCCAAAACCATTCATATGGTTCTAACTCAGTGGTCGCCAACCAGTGGGCCAGGGACCACTGATGGTCCACGAGAAAATGTTGGTGGTCCGCAGAGAAATGTCACCCCCAAAGCAATTAATCCAGGCTGCACGGGAACCCAAGGCTGTGCTGCCCACATGGCCTGCGGGAACACAAGGCTTGCATTGCTTGCACTGCGAACAACACAAGGTAGTGAGGGGAGGGGGGAAAGGGCGGAGGGGGAACTTGCCCCACTTGCCCCACGCTCCTCTCCTGTTCACCTGTCTGCTTCTTTCCGCTTCTTTCTTCTTCTGCTTTTGGCTGAATGCAAGGAAAACAGCAAAAGTCTTTCTTTCTCTCCCCCAAACTCTGCCAGAAATGAGTCTTTGGGACCCTGCAAGGCCTCCTGCTCCAAGAGGTTGCACCGACGTGACAAAAGACTCATTTCTGGTGGAGTTTGGGGGAGACAAAGAAAGACTTCTGCTGCTTCTGCTGCTTTCCTTGCATGAAGCCAAAAGTCTCTCTCTCTCTCTCTTTCTCTCTTCCCCTGAGAACAGAGCTGGAGATGGTATCCTGCGATCTGAAATAAAGAATGATCGATCGGTAAGAAAACGGGGTGGAGAATTTTCCTGCAGACTTTTGGGGATTTTCCCAGGGTCTCTGGTCCGTGGGATTTAAAATTATGTGTTTGATGGTCCCTGAGGTCCAAAAGGTTGGTGACCCTGTTCTAACTGTTCTGGAAATTTTTTCTTGGACAAGCTTTTATCTGAAATAGTACAGCATTTTCTGCTTGAGCAGGGGATTGCACTGAAAACCTCTAAAGCTCCTTCTATCTTTGTTATTCGGTTATTCTGAGTTAGTTTACAGAGCTGAGAGAAATCTCAGGCTTGAGCAAACTTCACTAATCTCATATTTCTCATCTAAATTTTGTAACACAATATCAACTGAAATCTAATCTTAAATCCCCAGGAAGGAAAGTTTGGCAAGTTCAGAAGTTTCAAAGCACTTTATCCAACGCATTTCAGAAACGACCAATCACAAGTGTGTTTTACCTTCTATAGAAGAATCTGCATTGATGTAGGCCACAGCCCGCTCTTGTAGTATTTTGACATTTTCCTACAATGGAAAACTAATTCAGATTAGGGGCACAAATATTTCTTTATGGACTACTTTTCACATACAGGTTGTCCTCAACTTACAACATTTCATTTAGTGACCAAATTACGATGGCACTGAAAAAATGATTTATAACCATTTTTCACTCTTAGGACCATTGCATCATCCCCAGGGTCACGTGATTAAAATAAAGATGCTTGGCAACTGACTCGTATTTATGACAATTGCAGTGTCCCAGGGTCATATGTCCACCTATTGCTACCTTCTGATAAGCAATAAGGAAGCCAGATTCACTTAACAACCATGTTACTAAATTAACAACTGCAGATTCACTTAACAACTGCAGATTCACATAACAACTTAACAGATTCACTGCAGATTCACTTAGCAAGAAAAGTCATAAAGTGGGGGAAAACTCACCTAACAACTGTCTCACTTAGTAACATGAATTTTGGGCTCAGTTGTGGTTGTAAGTTGAAGGACTATCTGTATAGCAAAGGTCTCCAAACTTGGCAACTTTAAGACTTGTGGACTTCTACTCCCAGAATTCTCCAGCCAGCATAGCTTTGCTCTTTTAAATGATCCATCACAAAACTAACTCACTCAGGTGACACTCAATTTATACTAGCCTCCATAATTATCCTGAATTTTAAAGTTTGATTTCCCCCCCTTATTTTTATTAGTTATAAATCATTTTTATCATTTGTATTAGTTATAACCCTCTCGGGGTCCTCAAAATCAAAACCATTTGCATGATATTGAAGATATTTGCAAAAATTTAAAGCAATGACACTAGTTTAAAAAAAAAGTACAGGATTTTTTTTCATGAAAAATAATTTACGTTAATACACATAATCAACCTTGTTGACTTACCTCTGCCCATTCTGTTGATCCCATTAAGCCAAACTCCTCAGCATCCCAACTAGCAAAAATGACTGTCCTCCTGGGTCGCCAACCTATGTTTATAATATTTAAAGCACCGTTAGTTTAATAGTCAAAAATTATTCATCAGAGAGTGAAGCCAGCCCAAATGACAATATTCTGTACCCCGCTTCCTCTGATTTAAATTCTCATTTGTTTTCAGCAGTTTATGAATAACAAGCAGGCCCTTAAAAGTGGGATATAGAGGGGCAGTCCCAGTTGACATCATGCTAAAACAAAATAAAACAAAAATCAAATATGTAAACTGTACCCAAATGACCACATGACCCCACCAAAACCAGCAGGGCAAACTACTGTATATAGACAGTGAGCAAACCCCATCCTTACCAGCACTGATGATGTTATCTAGCTGGGTAATGAAATGGCTGCCAGAAAACAACCAACTCAGTCAGCACCAAGGACTCCATAGTTCAATCCTGAGCTACATAAAATCTCTTCCAGAGGTGGTATTCAGCAGGTTCTGACCAGTTCTGGAGAACCGGTCGCAGAAATTTTGGGTAGTTCGGAGAACCAGCAAATACCACCTCTGACTGGCCCCGTCCCCATCTCTTCTCTGCCTCCCGAGTCCCAGCTGATCGGCTGGGTCTTTTTTTGTTGCCCTGCACAGGAGAACGGAGCTGGAAAGCAGGTTAGTGGGGTGGGGAGGGAATGGGGATTTTGCAGTAACCTTCCCCCAGGAGTGGGGAGGGAGTGGAGATTTTGTAGGATCCTTCCCCTGCCATGCCCACCAAGCCACGCCCACCAAGCCACGCCCACAGAACCAGTAGTAAAAAAAAAAATTGAATCCCACCACTTATCTCTTCCATTGGAACCAGAAAAAGTGTCCATGGACTAACCTTTAGATTGATGTTCATTGGATTGATTTCATTTTTATTATTTCCTTTTTTGTCTTTGCTTTCTTAGGTTACTATTCCTGCAGCACAATGCATTCTGGAACAGTTATTCTGCATGGGTCGCTTGGTATAGAATGTTTGCTTTCAGAAGCTGTGAAGTTATATTATGCCAAATACATATGGCAACGGAGGCAATTGAGAAAGCTTTGCATCCGAATGATAATAGTAATGTTGATGATACAAACCATTCCAACATCTTATTTTTTTCTGTATCGGAGCTGCACCCCTCAACAACTGCTCTTCTAGCTTTGTTTAGATTCCTGTTTTAAATTGCTGCGTAGTTGCATTATTTAGCAGTAGCACTTAGACTTATATAAGCAGTGGTGCAGTGGCCTAGAGTTGGAGCTCTCGCCTCACAATCAGGAGGCTGTTTGTTTGATCCTAGGTAGAGGCATGAATTTCTCTCTCTGGGCACAATGAGAATATATATATGCTGAACAAAACTCCACTTTGGTGACAGGAAGGGCATCCGGCCAGTAAACACTCTGCTAGCTCAATTCAGTTGCCCAGTCTCCACCCCGCAAGGGATTATGGGATTGTTAAATGAAGATGATGATGACTTAGACATATACCCCTCGTGGTGCTTTTACAGCCCCCTCTAAGCAGTTTACAGCGTCAGCCTATTGCCCCCAACAATCTGGGTCCTCACTTTATTGACCTCGGGAGGATGGAAGGCTGATGAGAATCGAACTGCTGAACTGCTGGCAGCCTGCAATCAACAGAGGTAGCCTGCAGTATTGCATCTCAACCACTGCACCACCATGGCTCTTTAGATGTATTGTTTGAGATAACTTAAAACATTTGACAGAAGGCAAGGCATGCGTTTACAGAGAACCACGCAAAACCTTCCCATTTTTCTCTTGGTTATTTCTCAACTTCAACAGCTTCAAGATATTTGGCCTTACCTTCCTGTTTCAGCTTCCCAAAACTTCGGACGACCTCATGAACAACCGCAGCTCCACTTTGGGGATCAATCCCACCAAACACCCATGAATCACGGTGGCCACCCAAAATGACGTATCTATCTGGATCAAAAGGGATGGAAAAGCTTCACATTATGATAATGAAGTTGGTAAACTCCAAAGGTGTTTTTTTTTTTTCAGGAGGCAACTGGACTTTCTTGTTTTTTTAAAAAAATTTGAAGACGTTTCACTTCTCATCCAAGAAGCTTCTTCAGCTCTGACAGGATGATCGGGAATGGAAGGATTTATATTCCTTGCAGACCGCTGGTCATTTGCATCCTTTTAGAGGGTCGTTGAAGCACTTGGAGGTTGCTTCCAAAGACTTGGAACTTCCAAGTGCTTCAATGACCCTCTAAAAGGATGCAAATGACCAGCTGTCTGCAAGGAATATAAATACTTCCATTCACCACTATCCTGTCAGAGCTGAAGAAGCTTCTTGGATGAGAAGCGAAACGTCTTCAAAGTAAAAAACAAGAGAGTCTGGTTACCTTTCGAAAAAGCACCTTTGAGACAACCCTGACCTGGATGGTCGGCACGTTGTGCAACAAGGTCACATAGTGTAATAAGATTGGGTTAGGGACTTCTGTCCTCACTGTGAGTTGTGTTGGGCGGGAGGTGCACGAAGGAAGGCTCAGCCAATCTCATTGTACGCATGTTGTACTCTGACAATAAAGGTAATAGCAATGACTGAGAATCTCTACAGAAGTTGGTAAACGTTCACCAAAAGTGGCCTGTAAAAAGGTAGGCGCAGGGTCACCATGAATCCTATCTTTTATTATTTTAGAGCTTTAAAAATGACACTTAAATGAGAAATTGATACCCTTGAGTAGGATTGTCTTAATTTACAGGAACACTTCTGGAGTCCAGTTCTATTCCCGTGCATGTCCTGAAGGCATCCGTCAGCAAGGAGTAGGCTTTGAATGCTGTCCATGCTAAGGACAGATTTGGGGTGCCCTAGAGTTGATCATAGAACACAGAATAATAGGGTTGGAAGGGACCTTAGGGTCTTCTAGTCCAACTCTCTGTTCAAGCAGGAAACCCCATATCATTCCAGACAAACAGCTTGTTGACTCTCTTCTTGAAACCCTCCAGTGATGGAGCAACCACAACTTCTGGAGGTAAGCTGTTCCACTGACTAATTGTTCCCTTTGTTAGGAACTTTCTCCTTAGTTCTAGGTTGGTTCTTTCCTTGATTAGTTTCCATACATTTCTTCTTGTCCTGCCCTCAGGTGCTGTGGAGAATAGGTTGACTCCCTCTTCTCTGTGACAGTTCTTCAAATACTATCAAGTATAGTATTAGAATCATTAGGACTGCAGAAAAAAACAATGGCTACCAACCTGCCTTCCATTGAGGAATACTGCATACTGCACAAGTCAAAAAGAGGTCTGTGAAAATATTTACAGATCCCTCACATCCTGGATATAAACTGTTTCAACTCCTTCCCTCAAAACGACGCTATAGAGCCCTGCACATCAGAATAACTAGACACAAGGACAGTTTTTTCCCAAATGCCATCACTCTGCTAAACAAATAATTCCCTCAACACTGTCAAACTATTTACTACATCTGCATTACTATTACTATCAATCCTCTCATTGTTCCTATCACCCATCTCCTCCCACTTGTGACTATATTACTGTAACTTTGCTGCTTGTATCCTTACAATTTATATTGACTGTTTCCTAGTATGATTTGATTGCTTATTTGTACCCTATGACTATTTTAAGTGCTGTACCTTATGATTCTTGACAAATGTATCTTTTCTTTTTATGTATACTGAGAGCATTTGCACCAAGACAAATTCCTTGTGTGTCTAATCACACTTGGCTAATCATTCATTCATTCATTCATCCATTCATCCATCCATCCATCCATCCATTTATTCATGTATGTCAGCCCTAGTCTTTCTTTTCATTTGATTAGTTCCTGGAACCGTTCTTTGAAAATGTATTATAAAGCAAAGCAAAATCTTACAAACCTATGTGGAAGATAGACTCTACCTGGCTCTATTGCTCCTCGGAGAATTCCAATCACATTGTAAATCCGTCTCACTTGTTTGAAGCTGTAGATGTGCATTCTTATTTTTCTAGTGCAATTAAAGGGGGGAAAAAGAATTAGTGTTACCCTCAAGCTAAAGATCCTTAAAAGTGAAACCGCTGGATTCTGAAAAAGAGCAGGGCTTACATACTGCAGTACACTTCGTTGTACCACACATAGGCATACAACCCAGTACGATACCCTAATGCTGCTGTTATAGGGACGCAGTGGCTCAGTGGCTAAGATGCTGAGCTTGTCGAGCAAAAAGGTCGGCAGTTTGGCTGTTTGAAACCCTAACGCCGCGTAATGGAGTGAGCTCCCATTACTTATCCCAGCTTCTGCCAATCTAGCAGTTCAAAAGCATGTAAAAATGCAAGTAGAAAAATAGGGACCACTTTGGTGGGAAGGTAATAGCATTCCCTGCGCCTTTGGCATTGAGTCATGCCGGCCACATGACCACGGAGACGTCTTCGGACAATGCTGGCTCTTCGGCTTTGTAATGGAGATGAGCACTGCCCCCTAGAGCCGGAAATGACTAGCATGTATGTGTGAGAGGAGCCTTTACCTTTTAATGCTGCTGGTTTTTTCCCCTGAAGGAAGCACCTGATGAAAGTCCTTCAGGAAGATTGCCTGAAGTGAAAACCAGGCCATACACTTTCATTTCATACTAAGTTTTGAGGCTGGGGGAAGTCATAATTCAAATGGACACTAAGCGAGGGTTACCTGTAGGACCCCAAGCAGCTGCTTCATTTCATTTTGAAGGGACATAATCATAGACTCAGTAGAATTAGTTTAACTTGCTATTTTGCTTCTGTAAGAATTGCTTTGCTACTGTAAGGATTAGAATGTGCCTCCGCCGTTTGCTTCTACCAGTGATCTAACTCCTACTATCTTGGGGTTGTTGTTGTTGTTTTGTACAACTTGGTGCCTGGTGCCAGGTATATCATGGCCTGGCAAGGTTACATTGGGCAAATATCTGTATTGCAGTGGTGGGATCCAACATTTTTTTAACTACTGGTTCTGTGGATGTGGCTTGATGGGTGTGGCTTGGTGGGCAGGACAGGAGAAGGAGACTGCAAAATCCCCATTCCTTTCCCACCCCACTAACCTGCTTTCCAGCTCCGTTCTCCTGTGCAGGCAATAAAAGAAAACCCAGCCAATCCGCTGGGACTCGGGAGGCAGAGAATAGATGGGGGTGGGGCTAGTCAGAGGTGGTATTTGCCGGTTCTCCGAACTATGCAAAATTTCCACTCCTGGTTCTCCAGAATTGGTCAGAACCTGCTGAATACCCTCTCTGCTGTGTTGCTAAGCCCCCAGCACCCCCCTGTTCCTTGCTGCTCAGCCAATGCAGCGCTACAAGGAAGGCACGGGCCAATTGGGTACTAAGCTGATGTGTCTGAAGGTATAAAAGGATGCCACACTTTCCCCAAGGTGCGGTTTTTCCATTGCATGCTTGCTGCCTGTATGCTGTGGGAAATTGTCTACCCAGCGATTTTGTTTTGCAAAATAAAAGCCGTTACTTTTTCCAAGCTTCTTCTTGGGTCTGTTTCTTCAGCATTCTGGGGACTCAAGTACATTTGGGGACCTTCCATTTTCATGAGAGACAGGGTCTGTCGACTAGCAGTCCTCAGTTACCACCTGACCAATCCCATTCTAAAAGAGAACATGTTTTTTTTTTCCTTCCCCGTCCTTTTATTTTATTTATTATTTACTTCTTAACAAGCTTTACCAAAGTTTCTGTGAAACTTGTCCTCACCTTTTTGAAGAAGTTCCCGTAAACCCAGGTCCCACGTTATATGGCACGGAAAGCTGCCCCTTCCAACTGTCATCAGGTGCAGGAGCGCCTCCCATTTCCCTGTTGGAAGTGAGAAAAATTACAACCCTCTTATTTCAGAAAATAGGTTGACTTGGAAGAAAAAGAAAAAGTATTGTTCCACTTTCCAAGAAAAGAAAATATATATATTTTTAACAAGGATGCTGAATTTGAAACGGGGAGGAGATTTTTAACTCTCATCCCCTTAATGCTTCAGATAGATATAGATAGATAGATAGATAGATAGCTAGCTAGCTAGCTAGCTAGATAGATAGATAGATAGATAGATAGATAGATAGATAGATAGATAGATAGATAGATAGATATAGAGAAGTCTAACATTGCTGTCATGTCCCTGTCGGAATCTGATTCGGGGGGGGGGGGGGGGCCGAGCAGCTGACAGGGAGTCAGAGTGTGTCTCTGTTGGCTGTGGAAGAAACGAGGGAAGGGCAAAGTCTGGCTGGGCAGAGCAGGGGAAGAGGTAGAGCAAGGCAGAGGGAATTCAGAGGAAGACCCAGGCCCACCCCCTCTTCATCTTAGGGCACACAGGGAGGAATGCAGAAGGGAGCAACATGAGTTGTGTGGCTTATGGGGGAGGAAAGGGCCCTGATTCCCTTCATTAACTGCAGCCGGGAGCACAGTGTTTAAAAAGGGAAGCTGTGCACAGCAAGTTGCTGGGAACGAATTGTGAATTATGTGGTATCGTCGAGGCTTATCTGTGTTCCTGGTATCTTCCCAACTGTGTGTGTTTTGCTGTGCTTTCAAGTCTGCAATTCCTTCTCCTGCCCTGTCAAGTTAATTACTGCAGCGTGGTTTGTTTGGATTTTTTTAGTTACAGTTTGTATGTATTTTGTTTTCGGGCTGAATTTCCTCCAGTTAAAGACTGTTCCTGGGAGAGTTTTTCTCCAGCCAAAGGTAACCTGGACATTGAGGGCAAAGTTGGAGATAATAAAGGGACTCTTCTTGCTTATTTGACTGTGTTGCCTTTGTGCCACACCCCAGGTCATCACAATTGCTTAGAAGAATTGCAATAATAAGGTAGCAGAATGAATGAATGAACAGTGTCAACTTGTCAAGCATTCCTGGCCTGCTCTCGAGTTGCCATAGGCCAGAGGGGGGAAAACTGATGGAGCAGCAGCACGTTCCATGCATACTTTCTTCAAGGCTGTATCCCAGGCTACTGGGACCAACAAGAAAGGCATAATTTCTACAGCCCCATGAAAGTGCTGCATTGGAGAATGTGATTTATGACACACCCTGGGGGGAGTGGGGAAACAGGGTCATAGGTGGGCTGTAAATTAGGTGGGCAGAGCTGACTTCATTTGGGTATGTGCTGACATGTTGCTCGTAATAAATAACTAGATCTCTTTTGAAATTTGGCTCAAGGCTCATGGTTTAATTAGGGCATCTGTGGGAACCCTGAAAGAATGAATGAATGAATCAATCAATCAGTCAATCAATCAATCAATCAATCAATCAATATATTTATATGTATACTGTATACACACATATAAATAAGGATAAGGCTGAAGAAAGCCAGGTCCTTATACAGCGTGTTCTTCTGATTTCTCTCTTTTATAAGCAGGTGTTGCAAAATTAGGGTTCACTGTGATGCAGAGAGTTTTCTTCGCATAGGATCTATTACTGCCTTCCTTCCTTTTCTCTCTACATCCTACATAGTAGCAGTACAAGTCCTACCTCGACTTATGGCTGGTCGCATAGTGACAGTTTGAATTTACAACCAAGTTCCCCAGCCTACTGACCGAGAGTGATATAAGGATCGCGTCATTAGGACTTACTTTAAGAGCTTCTCAGCATCATGATAACCAATGGGGTGGACAGGAATATTTAAGTTTGCTGCACTTTGAGCTTCCTTCAAGCGATAGGCATATTCTAGAGTAAGAAAGGCACCAATTACTGTACTATATCCCGAGGACAATTCAGGAGGCTGATTGTCACCTTTGAAACCATACTTAGTCAAAGGCCTGGATAACCATAAGGTCATCTTTTCTTTGTCTCCCAATCAGCGGTGGTATGTTGCTGGTTTGCACCGGTTCTAGCGATCCGGTAGCGCTGGTGAGCAGCTGGTCCAGTCCCCCTGCCCTTTTCTGTCCTTTATTTCCTTTGTTTGTAGCTTAGCTGGTAGGCGAGGCAAAGCACGTGCCCACAGAACCAGTAGTAAAATATTTTTAATTCCACTGTGCTCCCGATAAGCACACGCTCACTGAATCGGTTGCTACGCCCATAGGATCCCACCCCTGATTCATCCCCTCGAAGGCCTCTTCTCTGGTCACCTTTAGCTGGATATCCTGGAGTGAGAGGATCTCCAGCACCATCCAGAAGGAGGACATTGCCACGTTGGGCTCCACCTCCTGGCAGATTCCAGCCATCTGGGTAAGGCTGAACTCCAGGAGCACAAGAATCAGCAGGGTCCGAGTATAAAATGAGGCCTTTGGCTCCAGCCAGGTAAGCATTCTTCACCTAGGAATAAACAGGATTGGTGAACTATAAAACTATAGATCCACATAGCTTTAAAAAAAATTCCACAGTTTGACTAGTAGAATAGCAATAGCACTTAGATCTATACACTGTTTCACAGTGCTTTACAGCCCCCTCTAAGCAGTTTACAGAGTCAGCCTATTGCCCTATAACAATCTGGGTCCTCATTTTAACCCACCTCGGAAGGATGGAAGGTTGAGTCAACCTTGAGCCTGGTGAGATTCGAACTGCCAAATGGGAGGCAGCCGGCAGTCAGCAGAAGTAGCCTGCAGTACTGCTCTCTAACCACTGCGCCACCACGGCTCTTATGTTATACAGTAGAACCGAATAACAGAACAGAATAACAGAGTTGGAAGGGACCTCAGAGGTCTTCTAGCCTGACTCCCTGCTCATGCAGGAAACCCTCTACCATTGTGGACAAATGATTGTCCAATCTCTTCTTTAAAACTTCCAGCGTTGGAAGTTCAACTTCTGGAGGCAACCATTGATTAATTGTTCTAACTATCATGAAGTTTCTCCTCAATTCCAGGTTGCTTCTCTCTTTGATTAGTTTCCATCCGTCGCTTCTTGTCCTGCCCTCAGATGCTTTGGGGAATAGCTTGACTCCCTCTTCTTTGGGGCAGCCCCTGAGATATTGGAATACTGCTATCCTGTCACCCCTAGTCCTTCTTTTCATTAGATTAGACTTAACTAATTCTTGCAACCATTTTTCATATGTTTTAGCCTCCAGTCCCCTAGTCATTTTTCGGTTTCTTACAAGCGTTCTCTTGAAAAGCAAAGCTCATAATCTCTTACCTTATTTCCTCTGAAGATCTTCCCATATCTGACAATGACAATTTTCCCGGAACAATTAATTCCCATTTCTCGCTCTAATCTCTGGAAATCCTCTATCCTGCCATAATTCACGTACACCAAATCTCCCTGGAATACAAACGGTGTATCAACGACACAAACGCATGAAGTTGGGAAGTTGCCAAGTGCCTACACTCGGCCGCGCTTTCCTTCATTCGTTCGTCTGTTTTCAATTTCAGTAAAAGTTTGTACCTTTGAGCAATTGTTATATTCATCATTGGAACGCAATTCTGTTTCCAAACTCAGCCTTCTGTTTAAAGGGGATTCTTGCCCAAACCTTCACAGCTTTAGGATGCCTCTTGGGGGGCATCCATGCCAGGTCCAGTTATTTCACAGACGACTTCTCGGTTAGCGCTTGCCCAAGAGAGCTGCTGCATCTTCTTAAGGCAGAGGGAGTGTGGTGGCCTATGCAGGGGCGGGCAAGGGATTCTCTATCAGGGTTGCCATCTGGCCGTTTTTCCGGCCAAATTCGAGAAATCTGGCCGTATTTCTATCTGTTTGGCCGTGAAAAAAATGATGTCTCCGGCCAAATTTATTTGGCCGGAAATTTGGCCATACGAAAGTTGCTTGGCCGTGAAATCGGCCAGATCTCTCCTTCCCTCGTGCATGCGCGTCACCATGAGCAAAAGGAGGACAAGCGCGTCCTCTGGCGCTCTCCTTCCCTTGCGCATGCGCAAAAAATAATTTGGCCGAATTTGGCCGTATTTTGACTTGAGTTTGGCCGCAGAGCCAAACTGCGATCTGGCAACCCTGTTCTCTATCCAGTTGCTGGGTGGGTGTG